GATACTGATAATGATATTGATACTTATATTGATACTGCACTGATACCGATATTGATACCGAAACTAATAATGATACTGATACTGGTACTGATACATATTCTGATACATATTGTGGTACTGATACTGATACTGATACTGGTACTGATACATATTGTGGTACTGATACTGATACTGATACTTATACTGATACCGATAATAATATTTATACGGATACTTATACTTGTGTTAATACTAATATTTGTACTAATACTAATACTAATACTAATACTAATACTAATACTAATACTAATACTAATACTAATACTAATACTAATACTAATACTAATACTAATACTAATACTAATACTAATACTAATACTAATACTAATACTAATACTAATACTAATACTAATATTAATACTAATACTAATATTAATATTAATACCAACACTAATACTACTACTAATACTAATATTAATACTAATACTATTATTAATACTATTACTAATACTAATATGTTAATATTGTTATTGTTAATGCTAATACTAATTTTGATGCTAATGCTAATATAGATATGCTAATTATTATGCTAATGCTAATTAGTTGTAATTCTAATATTATCCAAATCCTTATTATATTACTAATTTTATTTGTAACACTAATCATAGTTCTAATCGTAATCCTTATCATAATCCTATTCTTAACACTAATCATAAGCCTAATAATTTTAATACTAATAATGCTAATGCTAATGCTAATATTAATTCTAATTCTAATTTTAATCTTAATTATAATTCTAATCCCAATTCTAATGCTAATCATAATCTTAATACTAATGCATGTCACTAATTATCGTACTAAGCATAATCATAATTTTAATTATAATTCTAATACTAATATTAATTATAATCCTAATATTATATTAATCCTAATTACAATCTGAATCATATTTCTGGTATTAATACTAATACTAATTCAAAGAATCTTAATTATAATTATAATTCTAATACTAATATTAATCACAAATTCTGATTTTGCAACAATTTCTTTTTTTTTTTATTTTTTTTTTTTTTGCAATGATCTAGTATTTAGTATAATTCAATCTCGAACATTTAATATTTAATTATATTATCAAACTGACATTAAAATTATTTAAAATATTATAAGGGTATAAGCAAACGTTAAGACGTAAAAGAACAATAATCATTGTTAATAAGATAAATTATGAAAATCCTCATGAACTTAGGCTAAATTACAGAAAACACCCCCACTTATCGGTGATTACCAAAATCTCCCTGATGTTTGTTTCTGTCTTACACGACCCCTTATGGTGTGATTTTTTTACGTAATCTTTTTTATTCTATGTAATGTCTCAAAAAATATGGAGTCTACCCTTACAGACGTGACATTTCTTTTATCGTACTTTATAAACTCAAAAATTAATCTCAGGGGTGGTCATGGTAATAATAAAAATTTGTGAAAGTGTTATTTAAGAAGAATAAAGATTTCGTGTAAAGTTCACATGAGGGTAATTTTTGTTTTTAAAAAGTACCATAAAGAAATGTCGTGTGTGCATGGTATAATAAGCATTATTGGACCACGTAATAAAAAAATTCCTTGACAAATCATACCATAAGGGGGTCGATGTAAGACGGAAACAAACATTAGGGGAATTATTAATATAAACTATTTATGGCAAGAGCACTTCGAGTGGGATTATTAAAGGAGCTATCAAAATATTTAACCACCATTTTTATACTCCAAAATAGTAATTTTTAATTCTAATAGAGTTATGAAATGAGGTATTTTGATACTTCATCTTTCAGAATGTAAAAATACATTATGCAATCATGCAAAATAAAATATCAAACATGAGTTATGAATTTAATCACATCAGTGTCCATTTAGAAAATAACATGTGGCAATAAAATATATTTAATTAACAACTATTTAATAACTATGGTTGGAGCAAATACATTTAGATAAATATCAAAATAAAATATTAAATAGCACATAAATATTTGCAAACTCATTTTGATACTTTTGGGTTGGAGTTGCTGTAAATATTTACTTAATTATATTTATTAGAGTTATAATGAAATACTTATTAGTGGAATACATTATATAGTATATACGACCATTATACATTTTAAACAAAACAATTGATATTCTTAATGTTAGCCATTAAATAAAGTGGATAAACGAATTTAATACCAAAGATTTAGAATTTATTATATTTTGAAATATATAAAATCAATTCGTTTATTTATCAATTGATTAAACTTAACTTAAGTTATTCAATTTATTAGTATAATCATGATAAGATTTGTATTTTAATTAGTATATAATTTAAAAAGTTAAATCAATCGTAAAATTTATTGTTACTGGACTCAGTGAAGAAAAAATAATTATTTAAATAATAACATTAAATTCATGTAGTATAATTTTCAATATGGTAAATAATTGGGAGTACATTACTCTACACATGGCATAACAAATAGTGTTTTCGCAAGATAGTAAATTCAAACATGTATCTATCTTTTTTACAAATAATATTAATATATAATATTAAATTAGTAAAAAATTACATATTCTCTAGTCATGTTCATTTAAAATGTATAATATCAAATAATTTATTCTGCAATATTTTTTGTTAATAAATTCAAGTTTATGAATTAAAATTTAAAAAAATCGTAACACCACCAATTATGCAATTATAATAAGGGAAGATTTTAAATCGAATTTAAATAAATTCAAATTAAATTAATTATAAAATTAAATTAAAAAATAAATTTATTTAGGGTTTCTAAGAAAGTTGATATATTTAGAGCATTTTATAAATGGTAGGATATAAATATATTAATAAAATAATTAAATATATTTAATTACCTTTAATTTTGGAAAATGATGACATGTTTTTTGATGATTTATTTCCACCAATGAATTCGCCACTTGGGATGAAATTAAGGACATGTCATCAATTGAAATTGACAAATGTCAATCAATTAGCTATGCAATTCAACTTTTATATATTATATAGATGATATTTAACTGAATTCCCTTAAAAAAAAGGGAGTTGAAAATGAATTTTAGCCTATTAAATTTATTGTTTATTTAAACAATATTTGAATAGTATATGGGCTCGTTCGGTTACCTATATTGGATTATATTGGGTTATATGAGATTGGATTAACTCCTTAACTAATTAATTATTTAATTAGTAGTATGTTCGGTTTCTTAGATAAGATTTTCTATTAAATTTGTTAAAATTAGTTATTACATATGAATTGTCTATAAAACCACTTAGTTTACAATAATAAAATATAATTTTAAGAATAAAATTGTATTTTTCCTTTTTAGTCACCCCTATTAAATTAATCTTAGGGGTAGGGCCGTAGGGGTGCTACTAATTTAATGAAATAATAGCATTTAATAGCGGGCTTTGGATTTAGTAGCGGGCTTGAAAAAATATGAATTTTACCAACCGGACATGTTATTATCCCCTATTATTTAGTCAGTAGAACCTTATAGCGGTAACCGAGCCCTTTTAAGTATTGAATTGGATTTAAATATTTCAAAGCCATTACAATAAATTATTTATTTTTTAATTTGTTTGGATGAATTAATTGTACAATAAATTTTAATTATTTCTCTCTAAATTAATGTATAGCTACTTTTTTTTCTTCTAAATTAGTTGGTTAATATGATGGATTTGAAATATAATTAATTCGGAATCATTTGAAATATAAATACATTAATATAATATTGAAACAGAATTTTCCAAAAAGAAAAACAGAACATTCAAAAACCAGATAACAGAACCAAACCTCAACATGAATAAATACAATACCAGTGTTGTTACACACAGTTATACACGTATACGTATACATTCACCATCTGCCGTTATCGACCGGGACATTTCCTTCTTCCAAAACTTCCTCACTCCGTTTCACCCGTAAACTCTCGAGCCTCTCTTTAAGCGGACTGTCCTTAAGCGCGTCGGAAATCACTTCCTTAACTTCAGCTTCCAGCTTTTTAACTTTCTCAGAAGTCGAATCTCTCGTAGCTTCTTCTTTCAACTCTTCGATTTTCCGACCGAGTCCCTTTTCTTCGATAACCTTCTCGATCTCCTCCTTAATCTCTTTATTCACCTTCGCCATTTCTTCTCTAAATTCATTATCCACGTCCAGTTTTTTCGTACCCAAAAGCTGCAAGTTAGCTGCTTTCAGAACTTCCTCCAGCTTTTCCTTAGCAACTTCAACTTCTTGAACAAGCTTTTCGTCTATTTCATTCCCTTCGGACAACTTCTCTCTAGCCGTATTAAGAAACTCCATTTTAGCTTTTACGTCCGAAGAAAGCTTCTGATTAAGTTCACTTTTCACCTTCTCGCTTTTCTCTTTCATCTCGATAAGCTTGCTCACCATTTCCAGCTTTTGAAGCTTCTGCTTTAATCCGAGATAAGCACCTGGCCTCGACAGCTTTTTCTTGAACTCGTGTAACAACTTATCAGCTTTTTCCTTCAGACCTTCGTTCAAAGCTTGATCGGGATTGGCTGATTTAGCGAGCTCTAAGTTGAGAGATTCGATTTGTTCGATTAAGCCCATTGAAATAAATGCTTTGGTCATTTCTTGGTCGAGATCATCTTCGAGCTTCTCGAGCTTTTGGCTGGTGAGTGGGTCCCACGGCACCTTTGCCTCGAGTATCGTTTTCTTGAGATCTTCAATTTCGGATTCTAAGTCGGCAAACTTTGGTGCGTTTAGCTCGGACGGTTTCATGTTGCGTTTTCTTTCGGGCGCCACCTCAGCACCTTCTTTGACTCCGGTTAATCCCATTGACCGGAATTTGAGCCTTCTGTGTTCGAGTAGCTCTTCTGTACTCATCCTTGCCAGTTCCTAATAAACAGAATTTATGTAAAATATACGCAACTATAAATTCCGATAATTTAAGGCAAACTTCGTAATTTCGAATTTACCTCCATTTGCGTAATAATGGCATCTTTAATCCTGAGAGAACTCCATAGAGGGTCAGCATGTGCACCTCCAAGCGGTTCCTGAAAAAACGAAAAAACGAAAAAAAATAAAATAAAATAAATATTACAATTGCTATCGGCCCGATTTTTTTACAATGAAACTAACATCAGTATATACAATAGAATCGGTTTTCTTACAGGAATAATGCCATCTGCTATCTTCAGCTTGTAATGTTCTTGAGCCTGTTCACCTCAGTTGCTCGGCAGCCTAATA